TTTTATTTTTGGGGGGTAGGGTGTTTGGTATTTTTGGTTAAACCATCTGGCAACCCTACTCACCATCCATTTAGCTCTTATTAGAGAGGACAGTATTCAGGAATTTCAAATGCATAACAGGCCACCTTTTTTTGTGTGTCATATAGGCTTATCATAAATTGAGCAAATAAGTACCATTTAGAATGATGTACATATTTAGTAAATTCAGAGGGGGGGTAGGGTGTTTGGTATTTTTGGTTAAACCATCTGGCAACCCTACTCACCATCCATTTAGCTCTTATTAGAGAGGACAGTATTCAGGAATTTCAAATGCATAACAGGCCACCTTTTTTTGTGTGTCATATAGGCTTATCATAAATTGAGCAAATAAGTACCATTTAGAATGATGTACATATTTAGTAAATTCAGAGGACACTAAACAGGGTTAATACCATACAATTATATTGTCAAAACCAGGACAGAATATAATTTTTTTTTAAACTAAATAAAAATTTTATGTACATTGGATTTTTTTGATAAAATCCTTTGAGGGACAACACCTATGTAAAGATGGTTTTAAGACACATCATAGCTCAAAGATCTCATAATGGAATAGGAATTTGCATTATAATTCATATTTACAAAATGTTTCTTAAACATTACGAGTTCAACTAATTCTGGAATTCATCACAAGGGAGCTGAATAACACTGCCTGTTCCTCCTCATTTTTTTGCTCCTTTAATACTGTTTTATCATATTTTGGGTATATATAAATTATCTACATGAGGACTCTCAAAGTCAATCTGAGCTAATGAAAGATCGATCCACTTTGAATTTGTATTTCTTATTAACTCAGATTGCTTGGGATACTCTGAAAGAATCAAATCCATTGAGTAAATCTACATAGAAATATCTATTATGTTTTAGCATTCTAATGCAAAAAACTAAATTGAGTAACTTATTCATAAAATTCACATTTAATATTGAGGGAGTTGATAGAATCATAGGGTTGGAAGAGACTTCAGGAGGTCATCGAGTCCAGCCCCCTACCCGAAGCAGGACCAACCCCAACTAAATCATCCCAGTCAGAACTGCGTCAAGCCGGGACGTAAACCTCTGGGCATGGAGATTCCACCATCTCCCTAGGTAACCCATGCCAGTACTTCATCACCCTCCTAGTGAAATAGCTTCTCCTAACATCCAACCAGTGAAAAGGATGTGGTAAAGCCACTAACCAGAATATGTTAAATGAGCACTAAGTTCGACATACGTGTGAAGGAAAGAAAGCATTGTCTAGATACAGAAGATGTAAGCAAAAAACCAAAATTTAATTGGATGACCTACAAAAACCCCCACGTTAGGGGGAAATAAAAGTAATACAGACCACAAAAATTAAAACAACTCAAATAATGGCAAAGGGACTGACATCAGTATAGTCAGGCAAGTGGAAAAATTACCAAAAAAGGTATATAAGGTTAAACAGATCAGATCAAGAGTGGAAGGATAGCGAATCCATAAAGCCAGGTCTGATCAAGTTGTTCCCTCCCCGGCACAGAATCTCATTACCATTCGTAAGCTTCGAAAGGGGAACACAGGTCGTAAGTTGCAGCAAACAAAAAATCCAAAAGGAAAGATAAAGAAAAGAATATCTCCTGAATTTAAACAATGTTTCTATCTGTCTTAATGTGCGTATTAAATAGATATGACATAACTCCACAAACTGTTCAAAGGTAAATTTTTAATTGTTTTTTTTATATTTTTTTATTTGTATGTTACGCTGTCTTAGAAGCATTGAAGACAGTGAATTGATTTAAGTGAGAAATTAATTAAAAAGTAAATAGAAAATAAAAATCTTTGTTTAACCCTAAAAAGAAGTATTCCATGGACTGTGGTTTCAAATCCTTTAAAGAACCAAACCCAGTTACTAAAACCACCTAGACCTCCCCCACTGTAACTTGAAACCATTGTTATTTTTTCTGCCATCTGTCAACACTGAGAACAGCCTCACTCCATCTTCTTTGGAATCTCCCTTCAGGAAGTTGAAGGCTGCCATCAAATTCCCGCCCTCAATCTTTTCTTCTGCAGACTAAAGCCCAAATCCCTCAGCCTCTCCTCATAGGTCATATCTTCCAGCCCCCTATTCATTTTGGTTGCCCTCTGCTGTACCCTCTCCAATGCATTCAAATTCTTTCAATAGTCGATGGCCCAGAACTAGACGCAATACTCCAGATGTAGCCTCACCAATGTCAAATAAAGGGGAATAATGACTTCCCTAGATTTGCTGGAAATGCTCCTCTTAATGCACCCCAATATGCCATTCACCTTCTTGGCAACAAGGGCACACTGTTGCTTCATATCCAGCTTCTCATCCACTGTAATCCCCACATCCTTTTCTGCTGAACTGCTACTTAGCCAGTCAGTCTCCAGCCTATAACAGTGTTTGGGATGCTTCCATCCCAAGCGCAGGACTCTGCACTTGTCCTTGTTGAACCTCATCAGATTTCTTTTGGCCCAATCCTTCAATTTGTCTAGGTCACTCTGGACCCTATCCCTATCCTCTACCTGTCCCCCAAGCTTAGTGCCGTCCGCAAACTTGCTGAGGGTGCAATCCATCCTCTCATCCAGGTCATTAATCATGATGTTGAACAAAACTGGCCTTAGAACTGAACACTGGGGCACTCTGCTTGAAACCGACCATCAGCCAGACATCGAGCCATTGATCACTACCCATTGAGCACAACAATCTAGCCAGCTTTCCAGCCACTCAAGTCCATTTATTCAACCCACACTTCCTTAACTTGCTGGCAAGAATATTGTGGGAGACCGTATCAAAAACTCAATACAAGGTATATCGCATCCACTAACTTCCCCATGTCCACAGAGCCAGTTACCTCATCATAGAAGCTAATCAAGTTGGTCAGGCATGATTTTTTAAACCCATGCAAACCCTTTAAAAAAAAAAAAAAAAAAAAAAAAAAAACAAGCTTCCCCTGCATCTAGACTGCTGATGCATTCTTTCGAAAGTAAATCAAAAGAATGCAGCAGTTTTTTCTACCACAGAAAACTTTGTTTTATGAGGAAGAAAACCTTGTTTCGAAAGTGCTCTTTCGAAAAAAGGCTCTATGTAATGCAAACTGTGCTTTTCGAAAGAGAGCCATCCACACTGCCTGGATGCTCTTTCACAAAAGCGGTTTGCTTTTTCTAAAGTACTGGTTGTAGTCTAGATGCTCTTTTTCAAAACAGGCTTGCAGTCTAGACGTAGCCCTAGTGTCAACAGGGCTCAACAGAATGTGTCAGATTATATAATTTTTTCTTGATGTCCCAAGCTCAATTCAGCTGAGAGTTATCCCTCATCACTGAAACTACACATTCTTTTCCTTCTACTCCACCCAAGCTGGAACTGAAGTTAAACAGACATAAATCATAAAAAGACAATGTAGAAAATTTAAACTAAAAGCAGAATAAAAATGTTCTAACCTGAAGAACAATGGGGTCTATGCAGGTGAATTTTGTTTCTTCTCGGTAGAGGTACTCAATGGAACACTTCAGGAGAAGAATTTTGGGATTTTTTAGATAAGTGTTCATCTAGAGAAAGACAGGGTAGTTAAAACAAAGAAATGTTGGTGATAGTAGACCCAAGCCTCCCTCCATGAGGAAGTTTTTTTAAGCTCCTCATACAGTTATCCAAAGCTGACATGCTTACAAAAATGTACCACTAAACCATTTCAACTGGGTGGTGGTATCAAATCAAATCAATAAACAAACTTTGTATTTTGCCAATCTCATATCAGAGAAGCAAGATACAGTTTTATCTACTCTGGAAGACAATTATGCTCTGTAAAGAAAATGTCAAACAAATGAGATCCTGGTACAAATCCCTTTCTTCCATGAGAGATGGAATTGTAGTGGCCCAGGACTCCCTAAGTCACCATAACATACTAGGTCAATCAGAGTCTCTCCATCTTAATCACTAGCTTTATTTTAGACTTACTTATTGCATTCCATAAAAAAGTGCAATCAAAAGGCTCTTTCTCCAGTAAATCTTACTGAGCTTATTCAACAGTTCTAGAAAATGTTATATTCTATATCTTTGAAGAAAGTTTAGTCCATACTCTCAAAACTCAGATTTCCTTGGACTACAAAGAAACCCTTCTGAATGGAAATAAAACATATGTGCATACTCAAAGAGAGCCAAAAATAAAGAGCAACTTCACAAACCCCTTAAGAGAATGGTTTTTTTAGATAAATTATTCTCAGTGTACACAATCAAGAAGGATAAGTTCCTCTTTAAGTGAAATACCCAGTGCCCTGCTAAAAGAATATAGGCTATTTCATTTATAACATCTTCAATTACCTTTTTGTGTGCAACATTCTTTGTGCAAACAAAGCCATTCACCACCACAGAGTCAAATTTCTTTCCACCTGGGATCTAACGAGATGGCAAGAATTAAAGGCTTTCTGGTTTAACATTCATTTGATCTCTTTAAATTCATTGAATATATGATGTAAGTTACTTACTGAAAAAAAATTGTATTTTACAGCATGCATAAGTTTTTCTAACCTCAATTTGTTCATTTTTATTTTTGTGCTATTATAGACATGGTAGAACCTCTGAGTGAAGAGCCCCAGAGTTTAACACAGTTTATAATTTACTGTATTTGAATGTAAAATATTTAAAAAAGGAAAAATCAGCATTTTATTTCTGTGTAGTAAAGTTTCAAAGCTGTATTAAGTCCATGTTGTAAACTTTTGCAACAACCACGTTTTGTTCAGAATTATGAACAACTTCCATGCCCAACATGTTCATAACACTATACCACAAGTCCCACTATTCCACACAAGTCATGAAAGTGGCCTGCTATTCTGGAACAGACAGGGCACTATTTTTTTTCATATAGATTAGCTCCTGATGGATTAGTGATAATGTGTCACCTTAAAATATTTTAATTTTTCAAGTCTGACTTTTCCTGTCATGCCTATTTGTAACATTCTTATCTTCTAGCAATAGATAATCCAAGTTCTGGTGGGATTGGTGTAAAGATGTCAAGATCTCTTTATATCCACTGTGAGTATGTTATTTAAAAAAAGAGCCTGGGAACAGCAGCTCTACATATCTTGGCATATTTAGAAAGTTTGTCAAGTGGTTAGTGCACCAGTAACCATATTGAATGTGAACATAATGGATGCCAAAAAAGACTCTCTAACTAAATTTAGGTTCCATAGAGGTATATTTCCAAGATCACATTACAGGCAGTCCCCGGGTTACGTACAAGATAGGGACTGTAGGTTTGTTCTTAAGTTGAATCTGTATGTAACTGATCAGTTTCAACAGCGGCTGAATCTGGACACCAGTTCCGACTTACATACAGATTCAACTTAAGAACCCCAGGCGTCCCCAAGTTAACTGCTGCTGAAACTGATCAGCAGCTGATTCCAGGAAGCCCGGGGCAGAGCAACTCTGCCTCAGGCTTCCTGTAGTC